ATCCGAAACACAAACCCAGCTTTTTGGTTTATCCTCATTCCTATCTGCCTGGAAATTCACATGGTTCTCTCTTCCCCCTCCCATCCCCTCTCCTCCTTGTTTCTCCACAGCGTGCCATCGCGGATAAGGACACGTTGGATTTGCTCTACAACAAATTGTTCGTCCCGCGAAAAACAATCCCATTCATTCTGTCCATTATCGGTGCGGTGTCCACACTGATCTCCATTCTCCTGATCGTACTCCTGATCACGTTCAGTCGAAGACAGTCCAGTCTGGCACGAGCCAAACGAAACGGGGGCAAAAAACATGCTCCCACAACGACCAGTGTGAATGTGGACAACAAGCTGGGACTGAGCGATCGTGTACAGATCATCCAACCCAATCAGAATGCGTCAGCACCGCCGGAGCAACGGTCAACCGGGCCAGTTCCAGATACTCAGGTATGTTCGTGTTTTTGTGTGTGCAGCCAGCTCCTTGTGAGCAATCAATTTCAAAAGCCACTGGCACATTCTCGACCATAGATACATTACATGATAGACAGTTTCATTGAAGCCTCAACGCACAGTACACCACACTGATTCTTTCGCCCTCTCCCCGCCCGCCCGCCCATATACACCCCCCTTAGTTTCACGATTTACATGTGTTGCTTTGCAGACACAGTTTCTAGCATCATTTTTGCTTCCCAGATGATGGTGCAATTGCAATGGGATGCACATATGCCGTGACCCGAAAGGTATGAATATGTGCTGGATGTGCACTTGACTCCTTTCTCCCTGACGCGGTTTCGGTCCGATGCTTCAACTTGATCATCGCCGCTCAGGTTTGGCTCTCGGTGATCGTGCTCAATAGCACAACTATCCGCTCGAAACCTCGTGTGGTTGGGTCACACCAAGTCCCACGATTAAGGTTACCGATTATCTGGAGTGACCAGTCGCTGTTTACTGTTCAGCAAACAATAGTGTGTGTGTATGATGCAAAAGATGTGAGTCGACGTTGTAGTTTTCGTTCAGCTTCGGTTCTCCACTCTGAGGGTTGTGGTTTGTTGCCCGATTGAATTGCACCATAAGCTTTCGGTCTTGTCGAGCAGCCGCATGGACTCTGTCTCAGTATCGATCTATCGCAAAAGAAGCAAACAAATCAGCACACCCTGATTGAGACTCGAAATGCAGCAGAATGAACCTCATCCATCCACTCTTTCTCTCTCTCTCTCTCTGTGTGTGTGTGTGCTGTTTTTCTTGTCATTCCCGGCGCCCTTTCAAGTATGCGTAGCCCCGACCAGGCGTTATACCCGCCTCTTTTCTGGCTTTGCTTACAGTCAGTGGTACGATGTTACTGATGTGTTTGACCGACTTCTGTTCAATACACACACATGGTCGCGCGCACCTAACCACACACAGAAATGGTTTAATACATCACAGAGAGCATAGAGTAGCACCATCGCGAATGATCTTTCGCGCGGGTGCGCGTGCGCGCTTGCTTGCATGCATGCATGTGACCTCGGTTATACCTGCAAGTTATCCCATAGCGTACGTGCAATATGTGTCTGCGTGCCTTGATCTCTATATATGCTGCGGACTCGTGCTGCCACTTTTTACGATGGAATGTTTCGGAACTCATTCCTCTCGTCTGACTGACTAGCGAAATTGTGTGGTTTGTCAATGAATCGCCATCATCATCATCACCACCACCACCACCAGAACCACCTTGCCAACCACAAACCACTTGATATCGTTGGTACGACTGACTGACTGACTGACTGCATCGAAGATTCAGTTTGTTGAGTTCACTTACGCAGTGGTTCCACATACACACAGCAACAAAGAAATAGTGCATGAAATGTGATTATGCTCTCTTGCTTCCCAACATCTCTCCCCCTTCCCCGGTCTCTTCGGCCGTGTTACCTAGACTGGTGAGATTTTAGGCAGCCCACAACTTCCGCACTAGATTTTCATACAGAATTGACTTAACCGGGATGAAACAGTAAACGTTGCACGCAGTGCTATAAAATTGTTCGAAGTACTTTCAAGGTCAATTCCATGATTCCGTCGATCAGTTGTCTGTGAGCAGAGTTGACCAATTCCGACCTTATTTATTGTTCTCCAACCAATAGGGTAGAGGTATTTGCCACGAGTCTCACACGCACGCACGCACACTGCTCAGTTATGACATTGTCATCGTTTTTTTATAGGGTTCACTTCGTCAGACTAAAGATGGCGATATGGCTTCAATGTGGATGAACTGACTGCAGTGAGAGAATGAACCGCTCGAAGACAGCGGTTACCAATCTCTCTCTTCCGCATTATGAGATGTGGAAAAGCACGAGCATACCTCACGAAACCGAATGTAGAAGATTGTTAAGGGCCGGTTCCAGTTCAATTAAAAGCGTCTCGAGGTTAACATGTTCCGCTCGCAGAGTTATTCGAGCATCAGGCGAGTGCCAGCGAGTGCTACAAGTTGCTCTGCGCTGTTAAGAGTGGAATGATAAAGTCCTCCTGGCTGGTGTCCAAATCGTTGCAACACAAAGTTCAGTGGATCATCAAACACAATCGGCTCGGAACCATTGAGTGGGAGAATGCCGAATTCATTGCCGGGGAAACGGTCCGGATGGTTTGCCATGCTACTGGCTTATTCCTTACGGGAATAGGAACGATTGCACGAGTTCAAGTAAATGATCAAATCCTATTCAGCTATGGTAAGGGTGACGGGGGAGGAATCGTCGTTGGAGGCACA